TTTGTGTCTTAGAAGTGAAAAAATTGGACATCTTCCTCTCATGTCTTGTTGGCCAGGATTGGGCCACAGGCCTACTCCTAAATCACTGCTTGGACTAGTTTAAGTCTTATGCCTGGAACAGGGGATGTGAATCATTTTCCTCCAAAGCACAGAGGAGATGTAGATACCTGATACCTGAAGGTTATGTTAGGAGGGGAAACTACTGGCTTTAGGTAAGACTGGATCTGGAGGCTCTGCCCTTCTCCATGTGTCAGCTTGGTCCCCAAGCTCACTCTTCTCATGTTTGCAGTGATGGCTATAGTAGTTTTAGACTTCATGTCATTCAGAGATGGGGAGAGAGGTGAAGAGGGAATGAGGAGGAGGAGGGAGAGGCAGAGGGGGAGATCCAGCTTTCCAGTAGCTTCTGTGGAAAAGAGGAAGATTCTTTCCCCAGAAACCCCAACAAATTCTTTCTTGGATCTTGTTGGCCTAAATTGGATTATGTATGAATTAGTCATTAACTGATTTAAGCCTAATTATGATTCATTCTTCATGGAACTGAGGATGGGGTTGCTCCCACCCAAGTTACCATACGGCTTAAAATGGAGAAAGAGAAGTTTCCAAAGGAAAATCAGGGGGAATGGGAATGGATACCGTAGATATGGGTATCTAGCACGATGACAATTCAAGGCCCTCCATCATCTGGCTCCTTCATTTAATCCATCTCTCCCTTTAGATAAGGCAAGGTGATAGCCACATGATAAGAGAAATCACACAATAAAATAAATCCCTACCTACTAAAAGTTTACAAAGCAGCATGTGGTAAGTCCTACAAAAGATGTATAAAATTTAATAGGTATATAGAAGATGAAGAAATAACATTAGCCTAGCATGATAATAGAAAATGTAGCAGTTTCGTTAGACTTAATTGGATTGGGAAGATTTTGACAGACACAGACTGGGTTTAGAAGTTGGGTTTAAGCATTGGCATTTTTGGCCAAGGGAATGACATGGGTAGATATATGGAGATGGGAAAAATACGAAGTGTAAAATTGATAAAAACATGAGATTCTAGAACTGAGCTGCCCAGTATAGTAGCTGCAAGCCAAATATGGATACTGAGCACTTTAGAAATAGGTAGTCCAAATTGAGTAAGATCTTAAAAACTTAATAAAAAATGTAAATATCTCAATTTTTATATTGATTATATATTGCAATGAGAATATTTTAGATATACGGGTTTATAGAATTGAGTAAATTAAATTAATTTCACCTATTTCTTTTTTACTTTTGTTAATGTGACTATTAGAAAATTTTATGTGGCTCGTGTTATGTTTCTATTGGACAGTGCTGCTCTAGAAAATGGAGTAGTCATGAGTATTCCATCTATCTTATGAAAATGGACAACAGTGGTGGTAAAGCACCAAATATAGATACCCTAGAAGATGGTAAGGATTTCGTTTTACAGTGGCAGACATCAGAAAGCTTATATCTAATGGATGGATTGTTTTCCTTATATTACATTATACCTTGCCATGAGTTTACTTTCTTTTGATTTAGTTTAGTTTGTTCATCAGAGTACGAAAAAAATCCAGTCTTGAATACTATATCTTACTGCCTTTTATCCAGTATTCTTATACTCTGGAAGCAAATATTTCTTAGAGGAACATTGATAATATGACCACTTCACTGTTTCTTTTCTTGTTTTTGTCCATCATGTCTTCTTTTTACATTAAACATTGATTAGCTGTGTTAATTGGATAAAGTCATAATTTTCTCATCTACAAAGTGAGGATAATAAAACCTAATACACAGGAATGTTGTCTTAAATGAGGTAAGTGACCGTGCTCTGTAAATGCCTCACATATAAACTGGGCAGGGCACTGTGTTAGACTTTGTAGCAGAGAGAAAGATGACTCAGCTCTCATCTCTCTGAGAGTGACAAATATGTATGTTAAACCAATTGGACTTCCAGGCAAGGTGACTCAGGCACTCGAATGAGGTACTAATGAGGTACTAGATTTAAACGATGTGAGTAAAGTGGAAAGAGTGATGATTCTACCTGCACAGTCGCATTTGAGCAGTCTCAATAGACAAGGGCATAGGAGTGGGGTCAGGGAGCAGGCATTTTAGATTTTGGATTGAAGGAAATGTATGAATGAAGGTAGGAAAGTTCATGATATGTATTTGAGATTCCTTTTGGTTTAAATATTCATGGCTTTTTTTTTTTTTTTTTTAAGATTTTATTTATTTATTTTTTCCCCCCAAAGCCCCAGTAGATAGTTGTGTGTCATAGCTGCACATCCTTCTAGTTGCTGTATGTGGGACGCGGCCTCAGCATGGCCGGAGAAGCAGCGCGTCGGTGTGAGCCCGGGATCCGAACCCGGGTCGCCAGCAGCGGAGCGCGCTCACTTAACCACCAAGCCACGGGGCCGGCCTATTCATGGCTTTTAACATAGTACAGTTGGCTCAATGTTGCCTCACTGTACCTCAGCGGAGCGTCTGCCACCAGCCTGGGAGCTCCTTGTGTGTAGGGACTGTCACACTCAAATCTGTACATCCAGCGTGCAGCACAGAACCTGGGAAAAAGCGGGTGTCCAATTGATAATTGGTGAGTGGATGAATGAGCATGAACTTTGCAGCATTTAGAAAGTGGTGTGTCACTTGCTTATTTTTCAGTTCAAAATACAGTATCTATGAGGATTTCTAGCCCTTTATATACTTACGGATATATTTGCTGATAGTTGTGCATTGAGGTGGTGCGAGTGTTAGGTTTTTATTCTCCCGTGAAGAACTGATCTGAAGTCATGGAGCTTTGGTTACCTGCTGCTGCAGAGGTCTCTTACTCCACCTGCCAGTGCCCATTACATTCCTGAAGGTTTTCGACACCACTTCCTGTGGAGTTCCATTCCGTGAAAGGTATAGCTGGCTCCACCACTTCCAGAAAAAACCCAATACCTTGCCTGCCAACATTTGGCTGCCTGGCATGGAACGTTATTCTGTAGGGGAGGAAGCATAATGGAAAAGGGTTATACCTACAGGAAATCTAATATTTGCTCTACAGTGAGCATGTGAAAAATTGAAAGAAGGAAGTGGCTTAGTGACTAACAGTTCACTTTGTGTGAGATTTCCTTTTTGGGGCTTTTTCCCTATCCTGTTATATCATTGTTCTATTTCCATGTTTTATTTCTTGTCTGACTGGTAAGTTGCTTTTATATTAGTGGTGATTGGGATCCACTATGGATACCATGAACAGATTCACTGAAAAAAGAACAAGGAGAAAACGTGTGTTTATTTCTTCTACTCGCTTACCATCGTTTTGAGAAAGGAAGTCAGAAAAGCTGTTTTCTGTGCATCCTCCTTTCCCCCTCTACCCATTATTAATGATTTTTGTTAGTGGACTAATTATACCGTTGATTTCACAATTAAAATAAGAAATAGGAGCCATTCTTGGCTTAATTTTGTTTTTTTTTTCCCTTTGTGGATAATACATTTTTTATGCTAGAGAATATTTGCAAATACTTACTAACTACAAAGCCAAATATATTATGTCCTCACGGAGAACACAAGGGTGGAATTAAAGGCCCACCAGTTAGCACAGCTCCCCACAGACCTGGATGGGAAGAGGGCAGGGCGGGGCAGTAGTTTCTCCTTGGAGGCATTCATTCTTTCGTACCCTGTGGCCTCTTCCTTGTCCTCATCACTGGCTCCTTTCATGCACCTCTGGGATTTGACAGAGCTTTGCTGACCACACTGCACCTTTAACTGTATAACAGAGAGCTGTTCCAATTCATATTCTGATATGGCTTAAAAAGCCATTTAATAAGTAGTAGTTGCGGCGTTTCTGAGCGTCATGAGAGTTATGGATGTGTTAAGGCTCAAGGTTCCAGTGGGAATCCAGAACGGGGTGAAAATGGGGGATCCTGCGAGAGGGTTGAAAGTGAAGCAAGGCTCAGGGGTGGGGGAAGGGATAACAATATCTGTGGCAAATATTACTTGATGATAAAATTTAAAAAATTTTCATTTAGCCGTTTTGCTATAAAACAGCTGTATTAAAATGTCCTTCTTTGGTTTGATACAAAGAAGATACTCAATAAATGTTTGTTGAACTTGAATTTTAAACCAATGACATGTTCTCAACCCTCCTTCTCCTCTTCCGTAATTTTGTATTTGGGCCCCACAAATTACCCAAATTATGGTTGACAAACTTAAGAGTAGTACAGCAGATTTTGGCAAAATGAATCGTACTTTTGAAGGAACATGAGGTCAAATAATGACTTGGTAAACATAAGAAGTCCCTTTAAAATCTCCACACAACTTTCCGCAATTCCGGTTTTTCACTCTGTTTCTACCATGATGTGAATTTGACCAAGTTGCATTAACCTCTCCAGACCTCAGTTCCCTCTTTTTTAAAATTAGGGGATTGGATTAATTAGTCTTTAAGGTTCATTTTAGACATTTTCATTTTTAGCACCTCATTCAGTGATTAAATTACTCTTCTCAGGCACTATAATGCAAGATAAATAACGTTTTCCTCGTTTAAAAAAAATTTACCAGTTTTCAAAAATAGTCTGGCCTATATTTTCATTGTGGAGTACATATCATGATGTTACCTTTGGGAACACAGCCTTCGATTTCAGCACTGTAAATGGCCGGTTACATAGGAGTTTAAACCACTTTGAAGTCGGTGAGACCTGAACTCGAGTCCTGGCTCTGCCAAGTGCTGGCTTTGTGACCCTAGGCAAGTTACTTACTCTCACTAAGCCTCAATTTCCTTATCTGTAATTTGGAGCTGATAATGTATTTATAAAGTTATTGTGAGGATTAAATGAGATAATGGATGTAAATTGTTTTGCACAGAGCTTGGCCTATGGGAACCACTCAATACATATTAGCTAAAGGTAATGATGTAACTTCTTATATCATAAATTGAGGACTATTTCACTCAAATATTTATTAAACTAATGACCAGAATGTTTTCCTGATGGAAACTGACCTAAAATATTTCTTTCTTCTTGCAGATCTTATATTGCACTTTAAACACACCTAAAGCTGACATGGAAAAACTCTTAGGAGGACAACTTGGTCTTGAAGATTTCATATTTGCCCACGTGAAAGGGATCAAAAAAGAAGTGGATGTGTATAAATCTGAAGATTCACTTGGTCTCACCATTACAGATAATGGTGCTGGCTACGCTTTTATAAAGGTAAGTCTTAAAAAATAACTGTGTGACCAACCCAACTGAGGGTAACATTTAAGAAAATCTGCCACGTCAGAGAAAGTGGGAAATGATCTTCAGAGTGAGAGCTGGCTCAGCACGGACGGATGGATTGGTGATGTTTCATTTAAAAAAGTTTCGAAGATGTCATTTTTTGTTTACCCTTTCCTTGACTTTCTTTTTCCAGTTTAAACTTCCTCTGAATTTAGAGCTTACTGAAAAGGAAAGCCTGGCCCTGGTGCCTATGCGTTATCCTTATGAGCTCTTGTGGGTCTGCAGTTCATTAACATCTGATGGCTTCCGTGCTGATTTCCATTGATTTAGTGTTATTTCCAAGGGCACGAATTTTTGGTCACCTCATTTACTTCTTTAAAAATGTTCTTCAGAATTTTCTAAACTGTATAATTCCTCTATTTAAATACAAGGAGAGCAATATAGAGCTGCAAAGCCAAGAGAAGGAGGTTTGAAATGGTATGAAAAACTATAAGAATGGGCTGGCCCCGTGGCTTAGCAGTTGAGTGCGCGAGCTCTGCTGCTGGCAGCCCGGGTTTGGATCCCGGGCGCGCACCAACGCACCACTTCTCTGGCCATGCTGAGGCCGCGACCCACATACAGCAACTAGACGGATGTGCAACTATGACATACAACTATCTACTGGGGCTTTGGGGAAAAAATAAATAAATAAAAATTATTACAAAAAAAAAAGAAAAACTATAAGAATGGAGGAGTGGTAAAAAGAAGACTCATCTCTTAAAAATAATAATTCTATTATTAAGCAATTGTAATAACAGCTGACTTTATATTGAATGCTTATCATGTACTGGGCACTTTGCATACATTTTCTCATTTAATCCTCACGACAATTCTTTTTGGTTGGTACTATGTTTTTTTCTTTTTCTTTATGTTTTTGTTGAGATGTAACAAATTTTTAGCGTACAGCTTCGTGAATGTTTGCATACTCACACCTGTGTAACCACCACCCAGATCAAGGGAAACGTTTCCACCACCCAGAAGTCTCCTTTGTGCCCCTTCCCAGTCAGAACTCTTCCCCCATAAAGGTAGCCACTATTCTGACCTCTAGCATCATAGTTTTGCTTGGTCTTGAACTTCACATAAGTGGAATCATATATTACATACTCTGTTGTTTCTGGCTTCTCTTGTTCAACATGATGTCTGTGAGATTTGTCCATGGGTAGGCGCTGTTATCAACCTCTATTTTATAGCTGTAGAAACAGGATCAGGAAGGTTAAGTAGCTTGCCCAAAGTTATGCAGCTGGACAAATTCAGGATTTGAATCCAAGAGATCTGACTCCAGAGCTGCCATTCCTATCCACTAAGTAAGAATTAGTGATAAACTTCATGCAGCAGAGCACTTTTCACACCTTTATTTTGTCCAAACCCTTGATTTACTGATGCACTGTCATCATTAAAAAAATAGTCTTAGGGAAGTTATCTTCTTCAGTGTAAATAGTACTTTAACTTCCCACTTGGTAGAATGGCTATTTTTAGCTCTGCAAAAGATATGACTGTGCTGAAGGTTGAGTGGGTGACCAAATGGAAAATCCGTGAGTTGGGAAAGTCATGTGGGATTATCCGGGGGAAGCTAGGACATGAGACACATGCAGCAATGCCTTTCTAATGTCAGCAGGGAAGGGCTTGGAAGTTTTGCAAACATGCGTGGATTTTTTAGATCTTAGCCTCTGATGTTCAGAACTTGTGTTCCTATTTTTTTTTAATGCCTCATTGGATACGTGCCTGCCTCAGAGTACTAGTCGCTAGTCCTGTGGAGACAGAGAACGTGTTGGCAAAGAGAAAGTGGAGTGTAAGCCAAATTGCCGACATGTAGTCAACTCGGAAGAGAGATGAATATCATACTGTGTACATGGTTAATATGATTTTTAAAAAATTGTGTGTGTGGGTAATTTCAAACTTAGTGAAAGATTATAATAAGAATACAGAGAACTTCCATAATACTCTTTACCCAAATCTCTAATTTTTACCATTTGCTGTATTTGCTGTATTGTTCTCTCATACACACACGTATATGTGTGTATATATACACATATATACAAATGTATGTAATTTTTCCTGAACCATTTGAAAAAGTGGATTACATATATTATGCCCCTTTACCCCCTAATACTTCAGAATGTGGTTACTAAGAACAAGGGTATTCTCTTATGTATAACTACAGTACAATTATGAAATTCAGAAAATCTGTCATTGATACAATACTTTTAAACTAATCTCATGTCCATATTGCAGTTTCATCGGTTGTCCTGACGTTCTCTGTAGCATTTTTTTTCCTAGTATGGGTCCAATCCAGGATCACGCATTTTGTTTAGTTGCCATGTCTTTCTAGTTGTCTTTACTCTAGAACAGTTCCTCAGCTTTTTGTAGGATGTCTCTCAATTTGGGCTTTGCTGATGTTTCCTCATATTGAGAAACAGGTTATGTATTTTTGGCAGGAAATCTAGATAAATGATGCAGTGTCTTTCTCAGTGCACCCCATCAGAAAGTGCGTTATGTTTGTCTATTTATGACGTTAATTAAAAAAAAATTTTTTTAAATTGCTGTCATGATAGTTTACAACATTGTGAGATTTCAGTTGTACATTATTATTTGTCAGTCACCATATAAATGCGCCCCTTCACCCCTTGTGCCCACTCCCCAATTCCCTTCCTGCTGGTAACCACCAAACTGTTCTCTCTGTCCGTGTGTTAGTTTATATTCTACATATGAGTGAAGTCACACAGTGATTGTCTTTCTCTCTCTGGCTTATTTCACTTAACATACTACCCTCAAGTTCCATCCATTTGTTGCAAATGGAACGATGTTGTCTTTTTTATGGCTGAGTAGTATTCCATTGTATCTATATAACACATTTTCTTTATCTGATCATCTGTCGAGGGACACTTGGGTTGCTTCCACTTCTTGGCTATAGTGAATAATGCTTCAATGAACACAGGGGTGCATAAGCCTCTTTGGATTGTTGATTTCAAGTTCTTTGGATAAATACCCAGAAGTGGGATAGCTGGATCATAAGGTATTTCTATTTTTAATTTTTTGAGGAGTCTCCATACTGTTTTCCATAGTGGCTGCACCAGTTTGCGTTCCCACCAGCAGTGAATGAGGGTTCCCTTTTCTCCACAACCTCTCCAACATTTGTTATTTTTTGTCTTGGTGATATCACGTTAATTTTTGTCACTTATCTAAGGTAGTGTCTGTCAGTCTATTCACTGCAAAGTTATTATATTTTCCTTTGCAATTAATAATTTGTCAGGAGATATTTTGAGATTATGAAAATACCCTGTTCTCTTGTACCCTACAGATTTAGCACTTGTTGATGAGTTTTGCCTGAATCAGTTTTTACTATAATGGTTTCACAATGGTGATTTTTCTGATTCTATCATTTCTTATATATTCCTTTAAAACATTCTAATGTAAAAAGGCATCCCACTTATTTATTTACTTATCTATTTATCAGTGTGGACACATGATTTCTTATTTTATTCAGTGGATTATAGTCCATTACCATCACTTATTTTGATTCTCAAATTTTCTGAGATTTGACCTGCAGGAGTCCCTTTCAGCTGGCTCCTGTATCTTTTTGACATGGCATGGCTCCCATAATTTTATTGAGGAGTTCCTTCCTTTTTGGCACAACAAGATGTTCTAGGTTCATCTTTTATCTTTTCCAGAGGCCTGGAATCAACCATTTCTTCAAGGAAAGTTTTTTTAGTGAGGACTAGTATTTCAAAATGAAGATTTGGATGCTAATTGTGCTCATGCATTGCTACTGGAGTGTCATTGTTTCTAGGTCTTTTTGTTGGTAAGGCTAGAAAAATGTATTTTGGAGATTATGAATTTATAATTATGCCTCCAATTCTAATCCTGCCCCACAGCATTCTTCCTTGGTTTCCTCATTAAAATATTTACTTTTAAAAATCATTACAATATTTACTCATTTGCTTAGTCCTACAATATACACAAAATAGTTTCATAATTACTATATCCATATTACTATGAAAAATAAACCTATTAAGAAGAGTTCAAGATTTATATGCATTTTTTGTCTTTAAACTAAATATATGTATATAATAAAAGTATTCTATTCAGAATTTACTTGGAATAGGTTCTTTCCTGCCGCTTTTCCCCTGGTGATTATGTTATTCATTTGAAATACTTTTGAATCCAATTGCTTCTCTTTGAATTGAATGTGAGTTTTCCCCCTCATCCTTGTTGATTTAATTTTATTTTCTGAATAAATAAAATATTATCATGATTTAAACATCAAAACTATATTAAAATCTATGCAGAAATAGCAGTATAATGATGTATGCCTGAAATTTATACAATGTTATAAACCAATGTTACTGCAATAAAAAAATAAATTAATTAAAAAAAACTGTGTTAAAAGACATATTCAGAGATGTGTCACTCTTCCCCTATCCCTTCTATCCCTTTACTCATTTCTACCACTCATTAGAAGTAATCAATTTCGTTTATTTCTGGCTTACCCGTTTAGTGTTTCTTTTCATCAAGATAAGCAGGGAAAAATGGAATGTTTCGAGTTTGTGTGTCACCCTTGTGCAGGGAGCATGCTAATCTTCTCTGTGTGGCTCTAATTTTTGTGTATGTGCTGCTGAAGTGAGTACGTGATATGCTTTCAGCAGCGGCTGAAAGTCAGAATAGGACAGTGTAGTGTGGATCAGATAAGGATAAGGTGGAAGGATGCTGTGGTTAGGGAGACAGTGTGGTGTGATGCATGAGAGCATTGGCTTTAGATGCAAACAGGCCTGCTTTCAGTTTTGCCCCAACCGTTATTTACTTGCTGTGTGATCTTGGACAAGTCATTAAACTTCTCTGAGCCTTCCTTCTTCAAAAGGAAATATTAGCACATACTTTATAGTGTTATTTGAGTATAAAGTAATAACACGTATACAATTTTTGACAGTACTCATAATTGATAATTTAATAATAGCAAT